ATCAATTTTGTTCTCTTGCATAAATGTATTCATAACATTAAAGATATCTTCTCCTGTTGTGATATTCCCACGTGATCCCCATCAAACTCCGGTGCAACGCGTCCCCCCGCCAAACTCTTCCCGTACCCTTGGGAGTACGCGTACCACACTTTGGGAAACACTGCTCTAAATCCCTTGTTGATGCAAATACAAAGATAAGTTTTTTTAAAGGACTTTTCAAAATATTGATTGCTGGTGGTTTTGTTTGGAAAATTCTGTACCAGTGACCAAGGATAGGTGAAATGACAACTGTCTCCTTCAACTTTTCTTAAAACAAATAATCATGCCAAGCTCTTGAGTAGAGGACTGGTATACAGGATAGGTGTGTTTACACATTTTCCACAAAACAGATCACCCTCATTCCTACTTCTATGCATAACACAAGTATAGCATGCAAATGGAATTAATGTAATTAAGTAACATCATAGAAGAGCAACTCTGCACTTGTTTGTGTTAACTTACCTGTATTTTAGTTCTTCACCTGCTAAGGAAAAATGCTCATATAAAGAATATGCCTCATTTCCTTCCCAGTCTTTCAACTGTATTCTCAGAACATACTGCTTCTGGTTAGTTAGCTGAGCAACCAATTCATTTCCTAGCCAGTATTCTCCAGAGGGGTTCCCAAATCCCTGTAATCCAAATTAGATATTTAAATATATTGTTTTGTTTCATTCTGATGTCAGCACTTTAAAAAAATAATAAGTCATCTGAATTGAGTCAAACCCTCTGAATTTCTCCATTTGGGAAAGTGAAGTTGTTCAAACACACATTTAGAGATGGGAGAACCAAGTGGAACCATTAATTGTTTCGCTCTCGAGAACATTGATATAAAAAAGGTTATACATATTTTTAAATGACTGTAAATTAAACATGATTGTGTTAATAGACAATCTATGTACAACAGATGAAATGTTTCATTTTTTCCCTTAAAAAAATTATTTTTTATTCTAGTCTATGTTTCATTTTACAGCACAGTTGCCTCATGTATTTTCCTCCATAGGCAGAAAATAGTAGTCAAGTTTTAGTGAGATAAANTAGCCTGATAAAGGCTTATAAAGTGCTCCTGGGGGCTGAGGGGGCAAAAAACGGCCCATTTTATGCTCATTTCTGCCCTCTCCAGCCCCCAGGACCTCTCTGAAAGCCTTCATAAGGCTATGCACGGCCATTTTGGTGAAGGAGTGTGGCTTCGGGAGGCAAAAAATGCTGTATTCGATGTATAAGACCCACCCAGATTTTCAGCCTCTTTTTTGAGGAAAAAAGGTGCGTCTTATACTCCAAAAAATACAGTATATGGTTTGTATGAATCCAAATTAAATCTGCAGTGATACCATCTGTTGTCTAAATCTCAGAAAGAATTCTATGAAAATCATCAAGATAAATAAATTATCACTAGCGGTAGTTTCTTTCTTTTATGAAGATATATATTAATTTAACTTTTTTAAGATGCTTACAGTATAATAAAATGTTAAAAAAAAATCCAAAAGGCAAAGAAAAGAAGAAAAAAAGACTGGTCAAAAATCACTCAGCTGGCTTTGTGCCTAAGGCTGTACTAGAACTCATTGATTCTCCCAGTTTCTAGTCTTGTATTTTAATGACTATACCAAACTGTAGAGTTGATTTTCATGTAATAGTACTAACCTAACACAAAAAAAATCTGCATTAACAATTATCAAAAGAAAAAAATGCTCTGTCATATTAGAATTATAGTCTGTTTATTATTGCTATCCATAATAGCACCCTCTCCAGTTTTATAAATATAGCTTAGTTCAGAGGTTCCCAATCTTGGCAATCTTAAGATGTGTGGACTTCAACTCCCAAATTTCACCAGCCAGCATGGGAAGTCCATGCATCTTAAAGTTGCTACGACTGTGAACCCTTGGCTTAGTTCCTTGTAAAAAAATATAAAATGCAATCTTCTTGATTAGATCAAATGCCTGTTTAGCCCACCATCCCCAATCACCCCAATTGCTATGGAAAATACAGCCGCCTATTTCTTCTTTATTTTAGTTTTGAACAATTCATATGCTACCCACTTCCAAATTATTCTGTACACTCACAGCACGAATATACAAACATTAAAAATCATGTGTGTAATTTGTTAAAAGAAAAAAACAAAACACCCAAACTAAAAATTTGAATGCATAGATAGCTCTTCAGTATCCTTGTAAACTAAAATAAGGGGGCTTCTCTCAATTCCAGCAAAACCTGTTCCAAAAGATTTAACTGAACAATTATTCGGAGAAATGCTGGTATGAATCTTAGAAGTACTACTCTGTTTCCCTGAAAATAAGACCTCCCTGGATAATAGGCCCGATCGGGTTTTTCAGCACATGCGCTCAAATAAGTCCTCCCCCTAAAATAAGCCCTCTCCGAAAATATTGCAACACAGCAGCAGCCATGAGGTGACTATGCTCGCTGCCTCCTGCACCTCAAAAATAATAAGACCTCCCCTAAAATAAGGCCAAGCGCTTATTTCAGGGGCCAAAAGAAAATAAGACCCTGTCTTATTTTTGGGGAAACGCAGTAGTTACCCATCAGTTAAATACATTAGGCTCTAACTCTTTAATAGAAATACTGTGGAGTAAATATGAGTAGAGAGGATCATAAAACATCTATACTTTTCCCTGATTATATTGTTGCCCTCACTTTTTCCAAGCAAATCAGTTTAATTTTTCATTGCATTTCATTCAGTTGCTGATGTTGATGTGAAACCTTTGTGGGGTTTCATGGCTCTCGTTAAAGACAGTCATGTGGAAGGTAACGCAAGGGAGCCAGGACCAGTGTGCTAATTCTG